ATCTCACCCCCTCTTTCCTCCTCAGTGGGAGAGCTCCTCACACTCTGCACCTGCTCCAGCATGGGTCCCTCCCACAGAGTGCCATCCTTCAGGAGGAGCCTGCTCCAGCCTGGGTCCCCACAAGGCCACAAGTCCTGCCAGCAAACCTGCTCCAGCCTGGGCTCCTCTCTCCATGGGGCCACAGGTCCTGCCAGGAGCCTGTTCCAGTGTGGGTTTCCCATGGGGTCACAGTCTACTTCGGCCATCCCCCTGCTCTGGCATGGGGTCCTCCCCAGGCTGCAGGTGGATCTCTGCCCCACCATGGCCCTTCATGGCTGCAGGAAACAGCCAGCCTCACCATGGTCTGCATCACAGACTGCCAGGGAATCTGTGCTCCGGCACCTGGAGCACCTTCTTCCCCTCTTTCTCCACTGACCTTGGTGTCTGCAGGGCTGTTTCTCTCACATATTCTCACTCCCTTCTTCAGCTGCAATTGAGGTTACAGGATTTTTCCCCCTTCTCAAACATTGCTACCACTGGCACTGATGAGCTCAGCCTTGGCCAGCAGTAGGTCTGCCTTGGAGCCGGCTGGCGTTGGCTGTGTCAGACATGGGGGAAGCCTCTAGCAGCTTCCCACAGAATCCACCCCTGTATCCCCACCACTACCAAAAACTTGCCATGCAAACCCGATACACTGCTACAGGGTGTATATAACGCATACACATGGTAATAAAAGAAAGCAATCAAGGAGTGTGAATTCTTTTCCCATAGAAGAACCCACACTTCCCAGAAGGAAATACATAGTCGATTTTAACTGTATCAACTTATTAATCATCTGTCAAGAATATGTTTTGATTCCAACAACACCCATCAAAAACAAAATTCCTCAGAACAAATATAGAAATTCAAGCCCCACAACTAGTACACTCCTCAGCACCAGCAGAAAAGGCTCAGCTATCACGTATCATGCGCGCGGCTGTTGTAAAGCCACCTGCGAGGCACCCAGCTGTGTCCCTGGAGAACTACCTGCTGCTGCAGCCTCTGAACACTTCAAAGCCTCAGATCAGGGGGCATCTGAAAGCACTTCTCCCACAGTAAATACACTCCCACTACAGCATTACACCAGGCAGCGCAACAGAGCAAAACATCCCTGATATGGATGTATGTCTGGCTGTCATTTCTGCTTAACACTGGCATTTCCAGATGCCTATACTGTTCCCCAACTCACTCTGAGACCAACAAGGTGCTGCTGCCAACACGCTGTCAGAAAGATCTGCAGCCTGAAGAGAAAACAGAGCTGCTCGGAGTCCCCCCATTTACAGCTTGGCTCACAACTCTCTACAGTAAGGTTTTATGTCACTTTGACATAACTCTGTATGTCTAGACCCAAATTCCATCACAAATAAAACAGCAGCAGACTATTCCAAGGGCAGTTTTCCATTATGTTAGGTACAGAAAGAGCTGTTTGTGCAAAAGTCTTCAAGCCTTATCACAGAGGAAGCAGCATGTATTCAAACACAACATATGACACTTTCACATTGCCAAATTCCCCTTCTCGTGTTTCTGTTGCTGGAGGATTTGCCCATCTCTCTTCCTTCTTATATAGTAGTGTATTATTACACAATAATCTCATTCAAGATCAAAACAGAAAAACCAACAGCCTTCTATCTCTTTGTCAACACCAATCCCACTCAAAATGGAGTGTCAACTACCCAATTGCAGCTGCAGAACAATGCATGGGTCCAGACGATCTCTGCAGTGCTTTACAGCGTGGCACAATTGCTCAGTATCTGACGCACATAATGAACAGTCTTTGCAGCTCCCTGCCACAGCTGTTCAATGCAAGCTCCCTCAGATGATGCCTTTTCTCAGTAGCACACATCTGAGATTTATAATCTCAAAGAACACACAGCTAACCTTGCACAGGCACACGCCACTCTTCTAACAGTGAGGAATTCCTAGATCCCATCTTACTTTTTATCACAAGACCCAAGTGTTACTCTAGCTCCCCAGCCCAAGGCTTCCCACTGCAGGAGCATTCGACCTTAACAGCATACAAAGCTTCAGCAGAAGTTTAATGCAGGTTATCAAAGTCAGTTTGAGCACCTCCCACGCTAGCATTCACAGGTTGATAGCATGATGTTGCCAGGCCTTAAAATCCAGTGGAGTTAGGTGTACTCAGTATTAGCAGCCTTGTAAAGAAAAACAGGCCTCTCCAAAAATCATGGTGATGATTATGTGATGTCCCTTCCCCAGATATGATATCATATCAGCCCAGATAAGTCCTTTAAATCATGCTTCCAAACTGCTCAAAAATGTAACAACTTCACCAAAAGCCACCCTGCCCCAGAGAGCCTAACCTTCAGGTAGGGTGCTAGTTCAGACCATTTGTCCTCACTCCACCTGCCACAACCCTTGCCCAAAAGCATAGTAGTGACCACTAAACTTGCTGCTTTCCCCAAATTCTAGCACTGTAACTACATTACATCCTGTTGTTTAATTACCATCCCTCACCTATCAGCCAGTTCAACTGACAACTGAAAAACGTTCTTCACTCGCTCTTCACAGAACACTGCCCAGCCCTGCAGCATGAGGCGCACTGCTCAGTAACTGCCCCGTTTCAGGCCAGCAGCGGCTGCAAGGCTGTGGTAAATGACATACACACACACCTAAGGTTACATGTACACAACCTTTGTGAAGGCACTCTGGGATCCGTCACAAACACAGCGGGAACACACTGGAATGAAACGCCCTTCTAAATCTGAGATCCCCATCATTCAGTCACAGCAATGGATATTGGCAAAATATGTGTAACTTGAAAATAACATTTGTTTACCAATGATAGAGTAAGGGTCCATTTGAATTACGGGACTATATTCCACAATCCTTAGGTATTAAATCTTTCATTTCTCACAAGTGATGTGAAACCTTGTAATCCTTCAAGTATTTTTCGCCTGTGTCCTCAGTTCTTCCCTCAGACACTCTGCATGTAGGAGTGTGATGAATTGGTAACCCCTCCAAGAATAAATGGAGAGGCATCATGGGAGCAAGTAAAGTGAACAAAACCATGCCTGGAATTCCCTGCTCACGGAAAACAGTGACCAAACTCCCCGACATCAAGGAGGGCCTGGATTTCACCCAAGCTCCCTGCAATACATTGCGTTTGAGATCTTGTCTCAAACACGATCTGTCCACGTGTGCAAGCAACTTGTGCATAAAGAAAGCCCTGAAGCTATAAATGGAAACTACTCCACTGCACGACTTCATCTCACCAGGAAACAAAGTACATGGAATATCCAGCACAAATCACCTTTGAAGATTTACAGACCAATGAGACTAAAAAGTCAGGTCAAACACTGAGCAGGGAAGATAAAATGGCTTCATTATCTAACATTTAATTAGAGGAAAACCTGGAAGCATAAAGAGAGGGCATATTTGAGACGGAGGAGCAAGATGAAATACGATGAAAAAACTGCTTAAAAACTATTGAAGCCCTAACCAGCCACGCAGATAACAAGGACCTAATTCAGACTGAGGTAAACATCACTCATTTAGCTTAATACAGGTTTTGAAGAAGATGGTATGTACACCACAAGGCTCTTCCACCAGGCCTGGCTAATATTAACGTCTATTATAGTCACTGTGATACATTATCTGGAAAGGGACAGCAACTAACAAGCTGCCAGATGGCAAATAAAGGATTACTTTGAGATGCCAATAATCTTAATAAACCCTTCCCCTAGCCTTTCCCAATACCATTCCTCTGTATTTAGACAAAAGTTCAAAATCCAGAACCATGCCTGCAGCCATTTTTCATTCAATTATATTTCATGGATGAAGTGACCTATAATTTCAGAAAATGAAATCTCTGAGAACACACTCAGATATCCAGGGACTAACTGCAGAACTGCTGTGCACAACTTTCACTGACACCTCTGGCTCTGTGCTTCAAACACGCCAGTTTGGCCTCATGTCTAAATGAGGATTTAGAATGCTGATTTCAAGGGGACACAGCTCAACAAGTTTCAGTAGTAAGGTTGAAGGACATAAAATACACACCCTGGGGGCTTGACGTCTGCGCTTAGCTTTTGGGAAAGAATCAAGTCAAGGGGCAAAAAAGAAGTGATGAGAAAAGCAAAGGTTCTACCTTTAAGCTACAAGGATTTAAAATACTGCAAATAATAGATCACCACCCACACTACAATATCTTAGATAAGTCAGTAAATACATGTGGGTACTCTAGGATTGCAGCCATGCTGTTAAGAGTTCTTCTGTATTTCTCCCCTAAATGAAAACGATTCTCCCTTCTTCCATCTCACAAAAGGAGAGCACCTTTTTCTTCCTCTGAAGACCTAAAGATGTGCCTCTATTTCCAGTATTATACGTTTTTAGTACTTGGGGTATAAGTGAGGTTTGTTTTTCTATCACCTTGAGACTACCAAGGAAACTGACTCAGTTCAGTGATCTAATGGAAAACAATCTTTGTATGTTTTTTTACTTAGATAAATTCCATTTTTAGTAGCATCATTATTATTATCTTATAAATATTTTCCGAGTTCAATAAAATAAAGTGTGTATTTCTTCATGCCAAAATATTTTCCAGGTAACACAGGTCTACACACTGGAGTCTACCCCAGACAAGCACCATCATTCAGGTTGCTCCAACAGCATTTATCCAGTGACACTCACGATGTCTGTCATGAGTGGTGCCTGATCACACAGTCCGCTAAGGCACAGCATGAAAGCTCAGCTTCAGAACAGAAGCAGCCCAGCAGCTGGAAGCCCAGTCCTCACCCTGCGCGACAAGGGAGAGCAGCACTGAGCTCTAAGCTGAAGGGCTACCGAGTTCAGTATGATGGGAACGCAAGCAGCACACGGGAGGGTCAAGGGGTGCCGCTGACTGAAGGGAAGCAGATGTTTGGCAATAGGATTCCAACTAAGTGTTGATTAAAATTCCAACTTCTCAATTAGAAGACGGCGGTTTGAAGTGCACAGAATAGTCTATTGAATTGTTTTCTGCCTCTGGAAAATCTGAGAAAGGAAAATGGCTAGCAAAAACCTTAAGGCTTTTAACACTGAATGTCACAGAAATTTTTACCTTTTGTTTTTTTAGGCAACAAAATTTGCTTACCCTTCTAATGCTAGTATCACTGCAGCGAATCAGAGATACTACCGACAAAGTAATAACACAGAAATTGACCTAGTCAAAGTAATCAGCAATCCAAGAGGAGAAAAGATTAAATGAAAGTGAAAGCTGTAAGGAGAGATCCTTGACATTCAAACGTAGCTGCAAGGGATATTCAAACATAGCTGCAAGGGACGTAGCTTTGTCTAACAGGCAAAGTGGAGAGAAAGAGCCTGAGCGTCAGACGCTGCTCTCAGGGAAGCGCGCATGACAAAAAGCCTGGGAGATGCTGACCCTGGTACATGTTATCACAGCTTCTTGATTATTAGCCCCTGATCTTTTTGAACCTGTGTACAGCAACAGAACGAATATGCGGGAACCTGTATCTGAATTTGCCCAGTAACT